GCGCAATCTTCTTTTCTTTGATTATTGTACTGCTGCTTTGAATATCTCAATTTTGACAATTCTGATCTAAAAGTAATAGGGCTTTCGCACGCGGCGATTTTTAAGGCAACTTTTAGTTGAAAGCAAAAATCGCCTCGTCCGAGCGGCCTTTCAACTAATCGCTTTCAACAAAGTTGGTCGCCAGCCAACTTTGAGCTCATTCAACTTTTTTTCCTTGCAACCCTGTGTTTGTTTACATTCTGTATCAGTGTTGGGAAATGAAATTGTTCATTCAGTACGAAATTTATACAAAAAATGTACTTTTCGGCTATAAATTGTATACACTTTTTAATTCGCTCATATATTTTCTTAGTACATTCCCTTCAAGACCAATGATTTTATGGTATTCATGAGAAAGTTTTATTGTTTATGTACATACGTTTACGTATTTTACACTTTTACAAATTGATTCCACGTGCACACGTACTGAATTTAACGCAAATATGTACGCACACATTTTCAGGTATACATCTTAACAAAAAGCATATTTAAGTTATTATTAATGGATAAAAGAGACATTTTCCTTTGGATTCAGTACTGAAATTTGACATTTTAATAGCATTTCAAGTGCTTATCAAAACTTTACGACAAGATTTGACCATTTATCTGAATATTATTCAATTTTAATAATTTTTTGTAAAAATACGGTTTATATTTTAAGAAAAGCCGTACAAATCCAAGGTTCAAACTTTGTGCAACATTAAAAAAAAACAACACACTTTCGTAAAAATTTCGAGCTTTTTAATTCGATTTCCTAGATTTATTTTGAGTGTGCGGTTTTTTAGCCCATTAAATTTTAATATAACTAAGTTTTTTAAGATTTCTTTGATGAAGGTGTTGCTAATTTTCTCCATATAAAAAAATCGTCGAACACACTTCGTATGGAAGAAAATGGCTGACATCGTCGACAAAAAAAATTGCCAAGTTCAACGGTAAGTCCCAGCTACTTTAAACTTGCACTTTATTATACTAAAATTGAATGGGCTAAAAACTAAAGAATATTAATAAAGCTCGAAATTTTTACGAAAGTATGTTGGTTTTTGGATATTTCGCAAAGATTTAATCTTGGGTTTATACAGATTTTCTTAAAGAATACATTATATTTTATAAACAGATAATTAAAATTAAAGAATAATAAAATATATAGTAAAATCTTGTCAATATGTGAGTGCCGTAAAGGTATTATATTTAAGAAAATCTCTTCTTATAACTAACGAAAGACTTTGTTTCTATATATAGCTGACTTCGACATTTTGTTTTAATAAAACTTAGTATCGAAAAGTTTCTTTAAAAATTTGCCTAGGCTATATTATACTGGTTCTTTCAAGCCATTTTTCAAAACTTACAAAGGTAAATACGAACAGGCGAACAAAAGAGAATACAAAAAATTTCTTGCTGTGAATCTTCAGAGCTATATATTTTTAGTATTCATTATATTCATTAGTACAATTTTACTAAAAGTACTGCGTAGTAGGAAAGTATATTGTAAATGAAATTGTATCAAACAAGTACAATTGTACCAAAAATGCCAACACTGTTCTGTATACATACTTTGTTTTTCTTTTTTTTTTTATGTATGTTACCGCATAACTTTGGACTACGTCAACCGATTTCGATAATTCTTTTTGCATCGGAAAGGTAGTGTCTCAGAGGTGGTCCCATACTAATCTGGTTAAGATCCGATCAGCGGATCATGAGATATATATATATATATATTTTTTTATATGAGAGTTGAAGTCGGTTTTTTTTTTGCTAAAAATTACTAGTTTTATCTTTCAGCTTCGCTCAAAGCACTTCTACCAACGCTTGGCTTACCCAATTTACGCCAGTTGATAAAATATTGCGATTTAAATTCATTTTCAATAATGTAAATAACGATTCGTGTTGAATCGAAAATCGCCTCGTCTGAATAGGAATGGCAACTTTTTCACTTTCAACTTCATATTCAACTTTTGTTGCCTGTAAAATCGCCTCGTGCGAATGCCCTATTAACAGCAAGGAGCCCTGTTTCGCTGTACTCGAGCGAACAGTGCTAGCAGCAATTGGTGACTGCCCGAATTGATCCCGACGCGCTTTTTGTTGTTTGAGATTTTCTATACGCACTTCTAGTATCTGTTTGAAGTCGGTGCCCATGCTGGCTAATTTAGATTGTAACGCATACACCATGATGTAAGTCAATTCTTGAATCTATTGCGGTCGATCATCAAAAAGACTCTTCTTTTTGGTCACTGCAAAAAAAAGGTAAAGTAATATTTATAATTAAGAACACTTATTCATTTTATACTCACGCATTGTCAATTTTTCCAACTTGGCATATGCACTTGCTATGTTTTTGCCAATATATTTGTGACCATCATAAATTCCTTTCTTTGGCATACGTCAATTGTTGCACCATAGCCTGTAAGAAATGCGTAAACATAATAATGCAAACATCTTCAAATGCACTTCTACTTCTAACTTACTTGTAAGTCTCTAATCTGTTGCTCGTACATAAATTGCGTCTGCGTCAAGGTCTCTATACGATTGCGGCCTTGGTTTACATTGGCCTTATCCGACAACTGGCGTATGATAAGCTGCGCCATTTCCTACTCATTTGACTTTTCTTTGAACTGATTTGCAACATCGGGAGCACGTTGCTGCATTACATCTAGCAGCCTTTTCATTTCATCCAGATGAGCCGCTTGATGTGGCCAACACCCAAAAGGTTTGTTTACAAAGTGCATTCTTGAGTAGTTGAACAAATGCCAGTGGGCAGCCAGCGGGTGAGTTGCTGGCAACAATTTGCAGGCTTGGGTCAGCGTTTGTTGCGACTGCCGGAAAAGTAGCTAAATAATGAAAGTAATTATATGTATAGCGGAGTAGGAGGTTTTCCCTTCACTTTCACTTTCAGCGATTTGCATTGCATTTAATAAGTACACATTCTTTACTTGTAAACAACCAATTTACCATTAAAAATTAAATAATTCCGTAAATCCGCGATTTATTATGCACTTTGTAAACAAACCTTTCAATTTCGCCCCAGCTGTTCGATTCTTTTTCGTATTGAATTCGTCTTTGCTCTCTCATTCTGGTATATTTATATTTTGACGTCATGGCCAGTTGCTCTCAGCTCGGTTGGCGCAATCTTGTATTCTATCATTCTTGCTTGTATTCTATCATTCCACGAGTCAAGGGATGTACATAGCTCAGTGGTTAACGCTTCTGACTTTGAACATCGAATATGCAGATTCGATCCCTGCTGAAGTCTAGAAAAAGAAGTCTGATGAGGAGATGTGGTGATCTCCGAAATAGTGTTATATTTTCTACCGCTTAGACTTTGTTGCTTTTTCAATTTTTCCTAATAAGCAATTGTGGTACAAAGCTCAATAAAAATGTTAAAAATAAAATGTTAACAAGCCACAATAACATTGACAAATACATAGTTTAGGAAGAGCCTGCCTGAAACTATACAAAAAAGCAAATAAGCAAATGGATGTATAGAATTGACAACAACAACCACGCTGTCGAGTTTAAATAGCGGCAAATCAGCTGCACTTGATAGTAGTTGGTTGAATAAGG